ACCATTAATCACTGAAGATACTCCCGCTGATTATTATGAAGAACTTACGGTGATTGTTTTTGAAAATAAGGCGCCATAAAATACTGCAAAGGTATGATACTGCAATTTTTTATGAACTTAATGCTAATGAATATAATTTTATTCTAGATTTGAAACAAATACAAAGCACATGTGCGAAACGAAAGAAATGCTAAAGGAAACGAGTGAAAAAATCTCCAACATGGAAACGTCATCAAATCTGACAACTGAAAAAGAAAACAACAATAGAAGTTATGCCGCCAAGACCACACCTAAACAAATTTTGACGAATTACAAGATTATCTTTGCCTATTAGAACAAGCAGATTTCTTTGTAAGTTAAAAAAAATACAATGAATTCATATATACATATAACATAATATTGGATATTATATACAGGTAGATGTCTGTAATACTACGATACTTTTTGGTAACTTACTATACATGGCACATTTCGCTTCATTGTAAAAAGTATCGACAACGAGATTTTCCTGATAGGCTATACGTTTTTGTCAATGCAACCATTTTACGATTATCCGTTAGCTTCAAGTAAATTTAGCATTTTTAAAATGCAGAATTTGTCTTCTGCTTTAAGCATCCCTTAAATTTAATAATACCCAAATGCTTGCTATTGTCCATTGACGAAAAAATTATTGCATTTCCATTAATCCATGCAGTCTTAACGGGTTTTTCTTTTCAGTGCAATAAATTTAGGCAAAATTAAAAAACTTAGGTTATTAATATGATTGTTAAAACAGAATTAATTCTTAACGGTACTTTTTTGTGTGTTGGGGGCAGTCAAGTCGTCGTGAATTAGAAAGTTTTACAGTGCATTTTTAAATCAAGTAACAGGTAACAACAATGCGATTCAATTGTCTTTTCCCTTTATTCTAGGTTTTTTTTTTATTTTTTGTAAATAGATTTCTTTGTGTTTTTAAAACCGATTTTTCTTTAAATAGCATATTTTATTGCAACGTTTATTTTTGTTTACCTTTTTTTTGTTTGTGTTCTTAGGAGTGGTTTATCTTTAATTTGTTTAATTGACATATATTTTTTTATTTGTTTATTGAAGTTCATTGTTGGTTGTACAGAATTGTAGTACATTTAATTGTTTTACACTAATAAGTTGTTTTAACTTTAATTAATATATATTTTGTTTTGGGATTTACCTGGTGATTATACCGAATTATAATATTTTATTTAAGGTAAACAATACAAAAATATACAATTATTTCAGCGTTTTATTTATTGCATCTTTTTTTCTAAAAATCAAAATATAAAAAACGTCTTAAGATGGACAATAAATGTCGTCTCTAAGACGTCAGTACATCACGTCAATAGTTTGTTACAAAATGACGACTCTAAGACGCCAGTACATCACGTCAATAGTTCGTTAGAAAATGACGTCATCTGGACGAGACATTTGACCGTCATTGGTACGTCAATATCACGTGAAATCTTTGGTCACTATGACGTAATTGATGACCATTTATTCACGTGAAAAAGACGACATTATGTTGCCTGAGACAGACACAACAAAAAAAATATTATTTCCATTCGACAGAAAATTGTACCTAATTGATTATTATTTTTTAAATAATATACTTTACACACATTTGATCGACGAATTATAAAAAAAAGTTGATATACTTCGATAAAATTCTATATCAAAAGAAAATATGGATAAACTAAAAATTTTAAATTGTAAATTTGTCTTTTTACGCCACGACAGATGGACAACGCATGAGCAAAATAAACGTCACAGCGAGAATTGACTATCTTCATTTTCGGTGGTAATTTTTGGACGTCCTGTGCTTGGTTTCCGTATTATGTATAGACTCAAAATTTTAAATTTTTCGCTTTTAGAAATTATCTGTCTAAGAAAAATCCGGACAGAAGGATAGACAGACGAACAGATAGACAGACAGACAGACAGGCAGACAGACGGAAACGGGAGACTTATTTCTTCGTACTGTAGGTGTCATTAAAGGTCGACAAAACGTAAAAATGTTGTCGGTCGACGGACTCGATTACAATATTTTCTTCGCTTATGCTCGGGAAGTAAAAAAGAGGTTAGTTTTTCCTTCAAATTCATATTTATCTACTGGAGCTCATGCTGCACACTAAATATAAAAATTGGTCGATGGTTATTTCAACAGAACTTCCCTCGCCCCTGAAGTGCTACCGCTTTTATACTAAATTCACTAACATCATGTCAATTTCACAATATCTTCATCTGATTCTGCGTATCACATGAAGTCAATAATCACAATTTAGAAAACAACAATGAAATAAAACCGATTATTACGCCACATTTAAACGAACTATGTAAAGTAGGTTGTAGAAAATTTTAATTGGGCTTTCTTAAGTATGTAATAAGTAATAACGTCGGCTATTAATAGTTGCTTTCCTGAAAAGTGCCATAAACTTGTTGCTAACAAAATATCCTGGCACAATACTAAATTGAAACGAATGCCCGGTAGTTTAAAACTATTTTATGATATTAGTAAATTAAGGCTAATGAAATAACAAATGATGCACTAAAATCATACAAATGTTATGTAAGACGAAAATAACGAAGGCCAAAATGGAGGGTAATAAATACCTAATGAATATGTTTTCAGAGACACCCCTGAGGAAAATGCGATATAGAATGTAATTATTTAAAAATAAAAATACCCAACCTAGATGTTGAATGTTTCAACAGTTATTTTTCTTCCGTTAGGGGCTTTAGATGTTCCCGATATTGATTCGTTAAGTGATCTGAACAGAAAACAGACCTGTCGATTGAAATTTATAGAATACAGTTTTAATCAAATTGAAGATGCTATAAATTTATTAAATAATGCCAGCAGTAGAGATGTACATGGTATTAACTCCAAAGTATGTAACTAAATCTTAAAAAAACATGATTTGTTAATTAATAATTAAATTAAATCGCCCGATTGATAATAAATTATATTAACCATATCAATTCGGATTCAGGAATCATATGTCAACAACTTAACGAAACAAGAAAGCATTTGAAAACGTATAGTATGAAAAACCTTGTTACTTGTAATTTTCATTGTGGTAGTGCAATAAATAAGATCCTAATTATCACAAATATTGTTAGCAAAAATTACCGCGAATCTGATCACAAGACAAATACGGAACAGCATAGGAATCCGTTCTAGGATCCATATCTTTCTTAATTTATATTAGTGACATGCCAAATATGAATTTATGGTACGTGTGATCATGGATAAAAACAGTGATAACAATATTAGGAAGTTAAATATCCCTTACAGCCCTCAAAAATTATAAAAATGAACAGAATAATAATAATAGTTTTTAACCAAAAAAGAATTAGTTAAATTGGAATTAATTGTTTCCCTGATGTTTTTTTTTACAGATATTTTGTTAAGTAATGGTTTATTTTACTTGTTTTTCTCATACTTATGCTGTTTTAAAGTCAGTCCCTCCACATAATTAGAGGTTTGAACTTTAAAATAGATATTTGGATAAGTGAATACTGCTGATCATGCTAGTGAGGCGCTATTACCTTATGTCAAAACTATGAAATATAAATAAAAAATTTACATGGTCTCTTTTAAGTACTTATTGTACATTTTACACATGATGTCAAAATTTTAAAAATAAATTATCAATTTAAGAAAAACAAATAAGTAACTGTTTTTTAGCTACTGAAAAAACGATATATTAATTAAGATTTTCGATTTTTCATACAGTTTTACTTCAGTCAAGAGGTCCAAGAAATCCCAAAAAATTGATGACATCTTTTTTGGATTTATTTTAACATTACATATTTATGTATGTTTATTTAAACTTATAAAGAATAAAATTCGCAGTATCAAATTGTGTAATTTTTCGAAAAACCTGGACAGGTTTTATTGTACGTCAAAGGTAAGGGAACTTCTGTCGAAACAACATTCGACCAATTTTTTTATTTTCAAACCTCGTGACTTGCCAGTCGTTACGCTTTGCAGAATAATAATTGTAATGCATTTTCCACTACATATTATTTATAGTTAATAAATCCATCATTTTTGTCGATAGAGTGCCAACTGACGATATAACGCCCACCTTCCCCTTATTACTGTGTTGGTACGCCAAATTTTAAGCATTTACTGCTTCCGTCTGAGCGAAACAAATTTACAAAACGTAATCGACAACGTATCACAATAATTGCTACGTTCATAATTTACTTCAAACGCCTATTATTCCAAGAATAAACGTCGTTTTACGAAAAAATGAGTAAATAGATTTATTATTTCTTAGGTCTATTCTATTACATAAGACAACAATATCCCCAATTTAATACAAAGCTATTATGATGATAATATCTTTCAAATTTACGACAGGTACGTCGTAAAAACAAAATTGATATGGAGATTGAACACAAAATAATGGAGGAAATCCGCAATATATATTATATTCAAATTCCAATCCGGTTTAGTAAGATATTGTTTAATGCAATCAAATTTCCATTATGGCACTCAGCCAGAGCTTTCAGTAATATGAATCGTCTCGAATTATAAGTATTACCTACATACATCTAATAATATAGCGGTAACATTAAGACAGGCTAGCTACATTAGCACGATTTTCCCGCAAAAAGCGGACGGCCGACTCTTGCATTCCTCCCTAATTGAAATAAAGCGACAGTCAAGCTAACTTTCTCAAATGCAATAAGTGAAGCATAATGCAAATTAAATGAGACCATCCTCATGACTATTTCATCTCCCCATCCATTTACTACAAGGTATCGATTTCAGTTGCATATTTATGAGTGTTGCGTTTATTTCGGTTCCAAAATCGTCTCATTTAATTTAGAATCAGCATGGTGATGATGATTTTCTTGGGAATCCGGGTCTCATTTCTGCAGAATTGCAACATGTGCCTGGCTCTTAAATCGATAATAAGGCAGGTTATTGAGAATTGTAAACACAGGGCGCCTTGACAATGTGCATATAAACAAACCTTATGCCGAAACGAACGGGGAGTCCCTTAATTTAGCGACATCGAGGATGATCGGCGAAAGGTGCAACTACCGACAAGAATACAACACCAATGAACGGACAAAATCGCGCGTACACACGTCGCGACGCCTTCGCGAACTGAGAAGGGGAATCTGGACAAGGGCATTATAAACAACGCGCAGGGCAACTATGAACGCTCAGGGATTCTAAAACTGTCAGCTGCAAAGCGCAGTTTTCAGGAAAAGCTGTGGAAATAGTAAATTTTAAACTGCAAGACGCTTTAATACAGCTTTATCTTCATAGTTTCAGTTGATAAACGACGACAAGAAGAGAATCCGCTTCACTGCATGATGCGCCAGTCGCAGAAATGCACCCTGAACACAAAACTAAAAGGAAGTTACCACTGGTAGCTCAAATTTATTGTTTTTATTGTTATTATTATTCAACATAGGGTTGGACAGATATATGAGACATTGTACGGTAAATATACGGACACAAATACGTACAGATCCGTTATATTATCTGTTTTCTAAGTGCAACAGGAAATAGTTCTTTGCAATGACGCCAAATAAAGCCCCAAATTTCTAACGCCTTCTTTGAAATATATACATAATGGCTTTTAAACGACAGTGTTAAATTGAATATGACGCCTAAATCTTTAATTTCAGAAACACGATTCACAGAATTATTATTAATATGATAGTCAAATCTAATGCTAGACTTAATATTAGAAAAAGAAATAAGATAACATTTCTTGGAGTTCAACGGTAACAAATTGTTATTACACCAACTTAATGCATTATTAAGATCCATTTGCAGGTCTTCAGCATTCCTATGACAACGAATAATTTTAAAGATCTTCAAGTCAACAGCATATAGTAAATAACAAGAAATGGCATACTAAGTCATTTAAAAACAAGAATAAAAGAACGGGTACACAATTCGTACCTTGCGGAACACCAGAGGGCACGTCAAATTAGCAAGATAAAAAATTACCAATACGGACCTGTTGACTCCTGCCTAAAACAACCGACGACAACCACTTAATCGTGTTATCTTGAAAACCAAGCTTATCCTACTTCATAATTAATAATTTATGGTTGACGCGATCAAATCCTTTAGCAAAATCCATTTAGACTGAATCGATTTGTAAACGATTAGAAAATGCTTCATTTATAGATGATGTTTATTCAAGCAAATTTGATAGTTTGGATCTCTTGGACATGAATCCGTGTTAATTATCTGAAATTATTGTGGTGCCCGAATTTGAATCAAAATTTTCGCACTGAATTTAATTAACAGCGGCGCGAAATCACATTTGAATAATTTGAATTTGAAAGAAAAAAATTCAAATAAAAAAATCGTTAAACATAGGCAACCAGGTGCACGGTAACGCTTGCTGGATAGTTGGACAGTTAGTAGCGCTTGGGGTTAGTTCTGCATGTTTAGTTAGAAGGCGGCTTGGTAGAGACAGAGGGCGGCATGGTGGAGCGTCAGTCTGTAGATGCTTTTGTGAATGTAAACATGTGGTAAGGGCTAGTTTAAATTAGTTGGTTTGGTGGTTGATAAAAAGGGAGGAAGCCTTTGTTTAACGCAAATGAATCAAAACAATGACGACACAGCTTTCCCCCACACGTGTAGCTAATTCTTGCGGCCTTTTAATCGAAAAAAGTGCGGACAAGTTAGTTTTTCGTAATCGTCAGCTAGTGTTAACACAATGTAACAATCAGGATTATTTAAATAAACCACTTGCTAGAAGATTTCATGAAATTCACTTAGTCAGGATAATAATTCTCTGTTTAACAAATTACGAATAGGTTTCTGGATGCATATACGTAAGTGTTACATTATAACACTTCTTAATTCTTCACACAAGATTGCTAATAGTTCATTTACGGCAGTTAAATTAACAAAATTCATACTGCGAACTGGCGGGGGGTTAAAATAATTTCTTCCCTTAGGCGGTTACGAGGGGTAAACCGCAGAGGAAATCAATTGTACATGCTAGAGGAAATCAAAGGAAATCACAGGAAATCAAAAAGGGAATCAGAGGAAATCAAAGGAAATCACAGGAAACCAAAGAAAATCAAAAGAAAATCAAGATGAAATCAAGGAGAATTCAAGAGGAAATCAATGAGAAATTAACGAAAAATCAACAAGAAAACAAAGGAAATTCAAAATCATCATAGCAAATCCAGTTAAACTAGATATTTTATAGAACTAATAAACGTAACATGTACGACATAAGCCATAGCATTCCTCATAAGAAAGAAAATATCAGTTTAATCTTAAAAGTGGAGATTAAATAACCTTTTAAGGGCATAATGATAGAAAATTCCAGTATAATATCATTAACTGACAGCATGATATTTCAGCTTGACAAATATTAAAGTTGTAGTTAATGAAGTGCAGTTCCGATGAGAAATGATACATGAAGGAATGTTCATTTTATAAAGCGGACACTGAAAAATTGCTACTAATTCGGGCTAATTTAATTTTTTTTGTTATAAACATGTTTAACAATGTTAAATGAAATAATTATTCTTATTCTCTAATCAATTATATTCAGAAACTATAAAATTTTCTAACTATTGCGCGAACACCGCGAATCACTCTTTGCACAGGTTTGTTTGTGATTTTCTTCGTAGCAGGAGGCTACATTTTTTTAAATTCTCCAAGTCATGATGTTGTTCGGCCATCTTTTCTTAATACTGCTGTTACGTGGCTCTCGACCGCGACTAGGCTCAACCGGGAAGGCCGTGGGTGATGGTACAAAAAAAAAATAAAGATTGGAGCCTACAATTAATTAAATTTATTTAGAACGGGGGAGGTGAGTGACTGTGTGACTGAGTACAAACTATCGATCTAAATATAAAAAAAAACTAAATAAATTACTATCCTAACCTTATGAGTACTTCGCGTCCGTACCGCAACAGTGCCGTTCCTGGCGGTGGCGAAAATGCCGAACGCGAATATACTTAAATAATAAAAAAAAATACAAGAAAATAAAATAATACCTAATACCCTATAACTAACGCCTCTCCTTCTTTCCGGAGTCCAACACGGCGTCCTCACTTAGAAAATGGGGTGGGGCGGGGCGGCTAGTTGACCTTCGTCCAAACTTCACACAGAAAAACCTTTCCACGCCAAGAGCGCAAAAAGATGGCAACACGTAGAGAAGAGGAGGAAAAAAAACCCAATGGTAAAAGTAAAGCGAAGACGAAAAAGAAAAACGCCTCTGATGGTGTGCGGCCTTAAAGTGAATTTTCGGGGGTCTCAAAACCACAGGACACACGTCCTCGTTCCCAAATGCGGTGGCCTCAAATCGTCTCTAACGCAATTTGGAGAAGAGTAATGCCACAACTGGCTAAAATAAGGGCTCTACCTCCAAAAATGGCCCCTTCGCACTGGATACCCTGAAAACACTTGCACCCGTTCCCAACGACTCGAAAAATCAAAATGGAGTCCCTCCTGGTTTTTTTTTCCTTTCTGTGGCATGCGCGGTCTGAAATACCCAAATCGATTGAGGGAGGGGAAAATATCGATACCCCGAATCAATGAGAGCTGTCAACTAACGGGCCAATTTCATGTATACAAACAAAATCAACCAAAATCGTATCATCTCCCCTTTACAAAAAAAGAAGTTTCCTTAGAAACTTACCCCTAACGGCCCACGTGAAAAAAAAAAAAAAGTTGATTTTCTTAATAAATAAAGAAGAAAAGAAAATAATGAAAAAATAATAAAATAATAGAAGAAAATAATAAAAAATGGTGAAAATCGGCGGACTAGAGATCCTCGTGCCTATCAAGCTTTAAATCTTGGACATGCCAGGCACCAAGATTCACCCTGGTATCATAGTCCAACAACTCGTAGACACCTGGTGTCACCTTCCGATGAACCACACACTTGACAAACTTGGGTGCTAGTCCGGCCGCGAAACGTTCGCCCTTATTTGACAAAACCCGATTCCTTTTCCAGACTATCTGCCTGGGGTCCAAGACTAATGGACGTCTTCGCAAATTGTAACGGCTCGCACTATCTAAATAGGCTTTTTCAAGTCGTTTCTGAACATCGACGTACAGTCGAAACAGTTCCTTTAGGTGGTCGTTTAGTTTCTCTCGCGAATCACACACAATCTCATCTTGCGGATGCGGGGGAGTCAGCTTGTGGTGTAACTTCCCTGACAAAAATAAAGAACGTCCAAAGTTAAGGTACGCAGGACTATATCCGGTCACCTCGTGTACGGCGGTGTTGATGGCAAACGCGATCTTTGAAATATTCCGGTCCCAATCCTGGTGCGTATCTCCTGTCAAATAGCTACGAACAGCCGTCTTCACAACCCGGTTAATACGTTCACTAGGGTTTGCCTGAGGGTGGTAATTGGCGTTGAACGTAATTTTGCAATCATAAGATTCTACCATCTTCCGAAAGACATTACTAACATACTGCTTGCCGTTGTCGCAAATAATTAGTGATGGAACACCAAACCGGAGAAAGACATCGTTTTCCATATGCTCGGAAACGACAGTACCTAGAGCCGATTTCAACGGAAATAGCAACACGTATTTAGTGAAACAATCAGCTACAATAAGAATAAATCGATTACGTCGACGGGAAAGTGGAAACGGTCCCATAATGTCCGTACAAATCAACTCCCATGGCTTCGAGACAGTGCGATGGCCCATTTGGCCATAGGGAGCACGTTGCTCCGGTTTTTGTGCGGCGCACACCTCACAATTTCGAACGTATCGGGCGATATAAGTGTTCATTTTTGGCCAATAGTACAAGGCCGAGACTCTCTTCTGCGTCTTGAAATATCCTAGATGTCCGGATGTAGGAGAGTCATGGTTTTCTACCAGTACAGCTTTACGTAATGAAGGAGGTACTAACAATCTCCAATCATCGTCCGCACAGTAGGACGGCGACCCACCTTTTACTAATCGGTAAATCTTCTCGTCCCTGACACAGAAACGAGGGTACTTCTGCGGATCTGCCCTAATTTTCTGTAAAAGCGATGTATACCAAGGATCATGATCAGCAGGCTGAACATCAACGGCGTTGATAGCGCGGGACAGTGCATCCGGAACTACATTCGACTTCCCCTTTCT